TGTGTGTGTGTGTGTGTGTGTGTGTGTGTGTCTGTGTCTGTGTCTGTGTCTGTGTGTCTGTGTGTGTGTGTGTGTGTGTGTGTGTGTGTGTGTGTGTGTGTGTGTGTGTGTGTGTCTGTGTGTGTGTGTGTGTATGTGTGTGTGTGTGTGTGTGTGTGTGTGTGTGTGTGTGTGTGTGTGTGCGTGTGTGTGTGTGTGTTTGTGTGTGTTTGTGTGTGTGTGTGTGTGTGTGTGTGTGTGTGTGTGTGTGTGTCTGTGTGTGTTGTTGACCCACAGGAGAAGAAGAGTCTGGAGCCTCGGCTGTCGTATGTGGTGGAGAATCTGCAGGCGAACACTGAGTACAGCTTCTCTCTGGCCGCCGTCTCCAGTAAAGGCATCGGAGCGTTCAGCAACGAGATCCGACGGCGCACCGCGCAAGCCAGTACGTCTGAGTGTGTGTATGTGTGTGTGTGTGTGTGAGATGCTGCTGTAAGCGCATGCTTTAACACTGAGAGTGTCCAGGCTGAATATCTGAACTCTTGAATAAAGCAGCGTTGTCTAGACGAGATTATAATCTCCTGCAGTGCTGTTTTCAGGAATAATGAGTCAGAATGACACTGATAATCCTTAACACACGCTGAATGATCTGCCAATGGGTTAGCAGACTGACATCATTTAAAAGTGAACAGGTGATTATTCTGCTTGCTTTAAGGTAAACTCCTGTGTTTACTGCATTGTACTGGTTTGTGGTGTTGGACTGCTCTAGAAGCTGCTCTCTGATTCAGGATGTTCAGATGTTTGCCTGGAAATGAGGCGAGTCAGAAAAGTGTTTCTGCAGGTAATCACATGACTGGGGTGGTGTCGGACGCCGCCTCCTGATTGGCTGTTTAATCTTCATTTATCAGACAGGAAATGGAGGCCGGACGCTGTCAGTGCACACTAACTAGGGGGAATTCAATACGTCACGTGCGGCTGAATCAAAGCCAATTATGCAGCAGTGCTCAGAGTAAATGAGTGCGCATACATTTGACAACTAATGTGTGTGTGTGCGGTTCTCAGTGAATATAGACTATATATGCTCACCGGCCACATTATTAGGTACACCTTACTAGTACCGGGTCGGACCCCTTTCACCTTCAGATCTCCCTTAGTCCTTGGTGTCTTAGATTCAGCAAGCTGCTGGAAATATTCCTCAGAGATTTTGCTCCATGATAGCATCACACAGTTGCTGCAGATTTGTCGGCTGCACATCCATGATGCCAATCTCCCGTTCCACCACATCCCAAAGCTGCTCTATTGGATTGAGCTCTGGTGACTGTGGAGGCCATTTGAGTACTGTGAACTCATCGTCATGTTCAAGAAACCAGTCTGAGATGATTGAGCTTTATGACATGCTGCGTTATCCTGCTGGAAGTAGCCATCAGAAGATGGAGACACTGTGCTCATAAAGGGATGGACATGGTCAGCAGCAATACTCAGGTAGGCTGTGGCGTTGATGCTCAATTGGTACTAATGGACCCAAAGAAAATCTCCCCCACACCATTACACCACCACCACCAGCCTGAACCGCTGATACAAGGCAGGATGATCCATGCTTTCATGTTGTCTGAGTCGAGCATCCGAATGTGTCAGCAGAAATGGAGACTCATCAGAGCAGCAACGTTTCTCCAATCTTCTATTGTCCAGTTTTGGTGAGTCTGTGTGAATTGTAGCCTCAGTTTCCTGTTCTTAGCTGACAGGAGCGGCACCCGGTGTGCTCTTCTGCTGCTGTAGCCCATCCGCCTCAAGGTTGGCCGTGATGTGTGTTCAGAGATGCTCTTCTGCAGAGCTCGGTTGTAACGAGTGCTTATTTGAGTTACTGTTGCCTTTCTATCAGCTGGAACCAGTCTGGCCATTCTCCTCTGACCATCAACAAGGCATTTGCGCCCACAGAACTGCCGCTCACTGGATATTTCCTCTGTGTCGGAGCATTCTCTGTAAAGCCTAGAGATGGTTGTGCGTGAAAATCCCAGTAGATCAGCAGTTTCTGAAATACTCAGAGCAGCCCGTCTGGCAGCAACAACCATGCCACATTCAAAGTCTCTTAAATCCCCTTTCTTCCTCATTCTGATGCTCAGTGTGACCTGCAGCAGATCCTCTTGATCATGTCTACATGCAGAAATGCAGTGAGCTGCTGCCCTGTGATTGGCTGATTACAGATTTCTGTAACGA